ATCGAAATTAATTTTTAAGAGATTGACAACACAAAATTGCTAATTCGTTTTTTAAAATTGCAACAACCTCTTCGAAATTGTTCCCACGCACAGAAATTCATTTGCAAATAAGTTAACAAATGAAAACTCTACAATTTGACTTAGTTCATTGCCCTACATTAATTATCATAATTAAATAATTACCTACAACTATCTGAAGTCTATTCTCTACGCTTGTATTCCTTTGACATACCATTCCTAAGATGCATTTTACACAAAACCAGGACTTTCTTACAGAAATACACCTTTAAATTTAGGAAAAAAAATATGTTTATCGTAAATACCAAGGCATGTTATTTGGTAGGCACTACACACCGTTAGTTTTGGATCTTGGAGGGTAGCTAAGAACTTAGGGAGCAGCCAGAATCTAAAACTCATTTAGAAAACGTAAAATTAGAATGTTGTCATTTTGATCAGCTGTTTGGATTAGGGGTTCGTTCTTTGCTGCTCCTTCATTAATTTCTACGGAGATACTATTGGAATTGCAGTACTAATGCTGGTAAGCCAATGTGATATGCTTTCGTACGGTGCATATGTATAACGAAAATGTTAAATAGTATATTATGCAACAATTAGGGTAAACGGCATTTGAGCCACGAGTTTATTCAGCACTAGCGGAGCCCAGCTCAGCGAATGTTTAATAAACGAGTGACTTAAGAACTAATTGCTTATTTAGTGTTATATTTATGCGGACATCAACCGAGGATGTCTATAGTTTTGTATTTTTTGGGAAACGGAAGCGCATATTACGCGATCTAGTATGTATTGAAATGTTGAATGAGGACGCACCTCGATGGATTTATATTCATTTCGAGTATTTCATCAACAAATCACATATGACCTGTTTCGTTTCATGAAGTCAAATGTGTGGTTTTTGATAAACGTTTGTGGTATTTTTGAATTGAAAAAAAAAGGAAAATAAAATAGCCTCCATTTTTCCAACTCTCGTTGGAGCTGAATCTAACTGACTAACTGAAACTAACCAAAACTAACTAAAACAGTCTTTCTTATTTTCCTTGAATCAGTAGTTGAACAATTTAAATGTTCTATAGAAAATTGCTAGAGTAATCGAACTTTTAGCGGATTCTTATCATAGAAACACCAAGGTCTTCCCACGTCCTTGCCTAATTATTTTTGTAGAAATTATTATAACTATATATTTGACTTACAACTTTTGCGTTACTGTCACACAACAATGTCAAGTATGGCAAGGTTACGATATTAATTTGCCAATTATTCATTTGCCCTTTATATTGTCTCGTTAAGCAAAGTAACATTCGGTAGTTAATGAAAAGAGGTGCAAAATAAAATGTTACGGTAGATTGAAAATATTGAAAAATCAATGCCAGTACGAAAGCTCATCTACTCTCTTATTATAAAATATCCAATTATACAGTGCTCAATCGTTCGCAATCGACTTTAATATTACAGGTTTCGGAGTAATACGATGTTTTCGGCAGATTTTAAATACCCATGGTCTTTTAACGTTTGTCAACTCTGAAGTTTACGTCACACCTCACTCCGTGAATGAATATATTCGTCCTGCTTTGAAAAAACATATCCAAAAACTAATGGTACTAGAAAAACTATAAAATGCAACACGTTGATAAACTTCTTCAGATACTTGCTCTGCTCGTGTCAAATCTAAAGTTTCGTTTATCAAACTTGTATACTACTTGTTATGTTATACTACTTTATATACTTCTTTTTTGTTCTTAGGATTTTTTATTAGTTTCAGAGAATTCCTATTATGTTTTTTTTTTTTTTTTTAAATTAAATTTGTAAGGGAAAGCTATTAACCGGCTTTTTTCCATAAAATAGTTTTTGCAACATCATTTATATTTACTAATTATTCTTATAATTTCCCACCGTAGTTAATTACCAACGTTGTAAGTATAGTTAGTGAATATCGTTGTTAAAGCAGACAAATGTGTCACCAAAGTACGCGTATTCGCGCTACACGTCGTCTGACGGACTCGGTAAACAAATAATCGGAGTGTGATTCCTGGGAATGTAACACTTACTATATTGTTTCAGAAACTAAAAATAGCCGCCTTTTAAATATTGTTTTTACGTAGATGAAACACGAGCAACTTCTTAAAAATAGACTTTCTGGTTCGCAAATTTCATTTCATTTTCGATATAAATTACGTGCACGGTTTTCTTGACATTACGTCATGCATGTTTAGGCTACAGTAAACGACCCATACATAAAACGGCAGTTTATGTATTTTGGCCTCAACAGCGTAGAGTTATCGTTTTTGGGTAAATCGTAGTTGGAACATGGTAAAAACCCAAACCCGTAATCTATAAAATAACATGAATTGCAACTGAGTTCAGCGAAATTAGTTTTAACAACCCACACAAAAAAATGAAAATGTTAGAAATATACCCTCGAAAAATCTAAATAAACAAAATTAAATAATGTTAATAAGTCTTTCAATTGAAATAGCTTGCCAACAAATTATACTATTTTCAATAAAGTGCAGCAGTAGTAATTCTTATTCTACTAAGTTCTACGTTTCTATAAAAAAAACACCAGAAATTATAAAAATAAACTCGAATTTCATTAGCATTCTTCGGCATTCCTTTGACTTGCTTGGAATCTCTAGGAAGTCTGTAAAATCACATGGAATTGTTTTTACGTTCATGTTCGCGTATGTGAATCAGTTATTATTACTATTACTATTTACACGATACTAATGAGGCACAATAAATTACATTAACGTAACATGTACTTAATTAGTGTAGAAAAATTTAAAGAGTTTAAATTTACAAACCTTCTAGACTCCTCCTGTGTAGGTTGTTGATAAATCGAACTTACTGACATTTCGCACCGACGCAAGAGGAATCCAGAAGTATTACAGCATCCCTTGTGGAAGTTTCTCTGAAAAAATTAAATACAGTGACGCACAGCTTGAATGATGCCGTCGCTATAGCAAGAACTAACTCATCTAAATCTCTCTTTATTTATTTGGCAAAAAACAACTTATAGAAATTAAGTTAGTAAAGAGCCTTCTAAAAAAGTGTGAATTACTTTGTGTCTTAAATATGCCTTACTTAGTTAACAATAAAGAATTAATTAAATTATATGCAATATTAACGTCACAGCCTGAATGATGCAAGAATAATAACTGGGGTCAAAACTTATCAGTTTGAAATTTGCAAAGGTTTTTACATATTACTGCAGTTGATTCTTGATTGTTCAAATGTCAAACATTTTAAAACACTTTTTTTTTTTTCAGTAAAACGAATTTTTTTTAAAAATGGGTAGTCGGATTACAATTCCTGAGAGAAATTTAATTATTACTGAACACTGAACAGCCAAAGAGACATAGCCAAAGTGTAAATAAATGTCCGTCAAGCATATTATTGAGCGTTACTGTAACGAAAATAGGGCCGAGAATAGGTCAAGGTTAGCTCCAAATAAGATCTTCAGTGAACGTGAGGAAAGATGGATTGTAAGAGAGGTATCGAATTGTCCAAAAAAAAAGTGCTCCAAAGATGTGTGTCGAGCTGGAAATATTGAAAAAAAAGTGTAACCCCGAAACAATTCGACGAATCCTGCGAAAAAATAATTTACATGGTTGAACTGCCAGAAATAAGCCTTTTATTGACCGAAGAAATAGACGTGTGAGATTGGAATTCGCTAGGGAGCATATGGATAAACATTTGAACTTGGATTCAGTAATATTTGCGATGAGACCAAAATAAACTTATTTGGATCCAATGGAAAAATATCAGTATGGAGAAAGCTTAAGGAAGAATTAAAATTGAAAGATTTAAAAGCTACGGAAGTTATGGGGCCATATGTCATCTGCAGGAGTAGGTAATATGCATTTCATTGAATGAAATATGAATCAATATGTGTATTTGGATATATTAAGACAGCATCTGGCTGCTAGTGCCCAAAAATTAAATATGGGTAACAATTATCGGTTGTATCACAATGTTCCAAAACACACGTAATTTCGGGTCCGCAGTTTTGCATCAGTTAAGCTGCGACGTTAATATTGTGTATTATTAAATTAATTCTTTAACTTAACTAATTAAGACACAAAATAATTCGCACTTCTTTAGAAGGCTCTTAATTACAATAAGTTTTTTTTTCAAATAAATAAAGAGACATTCAGACCAGTTAGTTTGTGTTATAGCAGCTGCATAATTTAAGCTGTGCGTCACGGTATATACACAGCGATCAGTTGAAGATTCATCATTACAAAAAAGAGTTTACATAAACATAGTCCCGAAAATGCTTAGTAACTAAGATATTTAAACTGTTGTTCAGTATCGGATACAGTGCCGTCCCTAGAATTTTTGTTAAAGCAGTGTGCGCCACAGACAATTTTAGTTAATTACTTTCAATAAAATTACAACTTTTTTACTCTTGAGTGGGTTTCGTATCCTACCTCCTTTTTTTGCTTTCAAACTAATTGAGGACTGTCAAATAACTAGACTTTTTAATTTTCAACTTATTATTATTAAAAAAATCCAAAATAAAATACAAAATAAGAGATTTTTTGTCTTAAATTTAGCTTATTTCAAATTCAAATAAAAATATACGCAAAAAGCGTTTTTATTATACTTCCGTAATAATTTATTGTTCCACATATTTTTGCTTTTATGAAAAAAAAACATTATTTTTGCGCCATGTTTGTGGCGTTTTATCTCTTTAACTGTTGACTTTTCACCCAACTTGTTTATAACAAACTACCCTCTATCTTAAACAAAGAATTTGTTTTGAAACACCCCATATAACTCGTTAATAAAGGTAACTAAAAAACAAACTATATTAATTTGGCGATATTAGTTGTAAGTTTCTAACATGCATCAAAATAGACACTTCTTTAATGAAGATACAAATAAAAGTAACAATATAATTCTGATGAAGTTATTCAATAAAGAAGCAATACTTCGGAAGTGGAGAAATGTACATAAAAAAATCACATCCTTTTTTTCAGACCCATGGAATTGAAAATGCGACCCTGGAATATCACAATTTTCCTGGTGTTGGCGATATCCTTAACCGCTGCATTTACATTAGGTAAGTGGTCATTGTAGATAATTGTTTGCGTTTGCAGAAGTTTGAATTTGGCTAACAATTTTAAATTTTTAAATATGGACAAGAGCTAAATGACCAGCGGTTTAACGTTCCTGGGGTGAAATATTTATTATTCTGATTGCGTCATTTGCGCGATTTAAATTATTTTTCAGCTTAGCCAACTTTGAAATTGTTTGCGGAATGTTTCGTTCACATTTTCTCGCAAACAATGGTAAATATTTGACCGAAGAAATGTAAAGAATGACAGCGGCGAGATTCTTTCCGACTCGAAACGCCCGCTTTTTCATCCACCGGCATGCCAGCGGCAGTTGCTTCTCGACCAGATATCTTTTAACACGTAATGCATTTTCAGAGAAATAGCATTATGTCTTAAAAATTTCTTTTTCTGAAACGAACTGTCGTGAACAAAGATATCAACAACACAGCGAAAAATTCCAATAATTTCTGGTTTGAAAATGGCTGAAAATTTGAACAACCTTGAATTTATAGATCCACAATGCTTAACCTTGATTTGATACACGATAATAGAGAACAACTGATCTGGGTCAGCGACAAACAGACGCGTGTATTCAAAAACTCAATGTTTGGATATAATAATTCGCAGTGGTGGATCATATTTGCATTCATATAGTATAGTAAGTTTATTTTTTGAATATCTTAGATATTATGCAGTGCAACCGTAAGCATATTGAATTTGCGAAAAACTGTTTTTTTAAAAGCCAATTTAACACTCGCGTCCAATGTTTGCATTTTAGTTTAGTTCAGTGACAAAATGGTATAACTCACGTACTTAGCGCAAACTCATCATATAGAATTCAGCTGTTATTAATATTTAATTTATATGACTTATTAAACGACCCTATTTTCCGAATAAATAATATAAATAGGAACTCCAAATAATTTGCACCGCTTTTCCTCTGAACGCCACAATACCTTTTTTATCTTAAAAATCAACTAAATAAGTATAATATTGTCGCGCACAGAGCGGAAATGTACAACCTTTCTCTAAAAGAAATGCACTTTTAGCTTTGTTGTATAGAATAGTAATGCAACCAGTGCGGTAAACGGAATTTGAGTCGTGAGTTTAGTTGGCACGAGCGGAGCGAGTGTTTAATTAACTTGAGTGACTTGAAAAGTTTACCAAACGTGTTGCATACTCTAGTTTTTCTATGACCGTTAGTTTTTGGGTACATTTTTGCAAAACAACGCGAATGCATTCACTGACATGACCGTCAGAATTGACAAACCTCAAAATTTAAGGCGTGGGAAATATCTCTGAAAACATCCGATTATATCCCGGAAAAAGTGACACTTCTTGACACACTTTACAGAACCGAGTAGAAAAAATCATATTACTGCACCGAAAACAGTGTAAAAATTGGAATTTTCAGCAATATTTCTGTAAAATTGTTATAAACCTCTTTTTTTTTTCTCAAAATATTATGTATATTTAAATATTATGTGAAATTAATTGTGAAAAGAGAAGTTATTGAGTAAATCAGCCAAGACAAAATGCTGGAAATTAGTCTCGAGATTATGAAATGATCACCAGAGGGCGTAATTGTTACTTTGAAATTTAAAACACTATTTGAAAAAAAAGTCTAATATTTAACCATGGTTAAAGTGAGTACTATTTTAAAGCTGAGAACAATTAAAAAAAAAATCCGTATTTCCAAAAAGGCTTAACGCATTTTAATAAACTTGCAGTTGTTGAAAAAGGCTTTCCCTAGGCTACGAATCGGCATTTTCTGATATTATCGTAAAAAAAGTAAATGGTAATGCTAAATAGCTGAAAATGGCAAAGCATGTCAACGTGGTAATGTCACGGGGTTACCTTCGAAGGTAGAAAAAGTAGTGAAGATTTGATTTTCGATATCATTTGGCGTCCTACTTAAAAAAATTAGCGTTTTGTTTCATTTATTCGGAATAATCAGACCTTATACAACCCATAAAGTCAAAATTTTTGCCTAAAATACAACTTTTTTTTTGCACTTGTTTGTTGTTCTTTTTTCAGAAAAATATATTTTTTGCGATTATATCAGAAAACGTCACACATAGCAAGAATGATAGCCAAGGAAAAGTCCGTTTTAAAGACTCCAAGTTTATTAAAATGGATTTATGGGTATTTATTTAAGAAAATGTTCTAACACCCCCACCACTTTTCTTGCAGAGATAGAGCAAACAGCATTAAACAAAAAAGATTTGAATTTGTCAGAACTTTAAAACGGTGCTCACTTTAACTATGGGTAAACATTGGAAATTTTTATATAAACAGTTTAAAAATTCACAAATACTCGCAGCACTTTCTCTTGGCCAATTGACTTAATTCTTTTTTTCAAATTAATAGGACCTTTCGTTTCCCTAATACCGTACTTGGCTTCCATTACCGAATTAAGGAAATATTTTCAAAGCTGTACCACCAAAATTCGAGTATTCGTGAGTCGTGCACTTCATAACGTGTGTGCAACGATCTATTTTCTTCGCATCTGTAAATCCACCAAACCGTTATTTCCGACATGGAGCGTTCCTCTCTGCAACAACTAGAGTACGTAATAGCATTTAACACCGAACATTAAATTATCCATCAGGTGACAGTTATGTAATATTGTCACTCAAGAAACGTTATTAAAACGATTTTCTAAACTGAGTTACAACGAGGTAAATTATTATTTACTGACAAGGCGAGGCTCAATTTACGACGCAAATTATGCGACAGTTATTAGCATGAACTGTGGAAAAACTAGCGAGACGGGCGCGAGATCCTATGGTCATTGATTTCATTATTTAGTTTTTCTCTGGTAGGTAGGTAGGTGATTTTGAGAAGAAAATTTTTAAAAAAGATTTTTTTTGTCGAGAGATTAGCAAAACACCGAAACATTTTCAGCTTCTGTGCCGACGTTTCGATCCTTTCTTGGAATGTTTCATTGTGAATTGTGACTCTACACAAAGTTTTGAAGGAACACAATTTTGTCTGCCACATTGCAACAGTTAGTAAAAATTCTAAAATAATGTGTAAAAAATCGGGATTTTTTACAATTTGCTTGGCTAAAGAACACTTTCATCTCCTGGTGGCGGTCCAACAAAGAGTTGAAACGTCTTCAAGCCTGAAAAGATTTCAGTGTTTTACTGACTTCTTCTAAAAAATCTAAATATATTTTAAAACATGTCTCTCTAAAATTCGATTTTGTTTTACTCCTTACTCTAAAATACAATATACAAAATATCAGCTTCACTAGACACTGTCTGATGCTAATTGGAGCGTTTTCGGTATATCGATATTTTTATTCGTTTCCGACTGATCGCAGAATAAATGAATAACTTCCTCCACTTAACTGGATTCGAAATAATAGAATTCGTAGAGCATATTTAACATTTCATCTCGCAAATTATTCTACTTTAGTAGTCCTTTGGTAAAATAAAAAAAAAACTAGTGAGCTTGCTAATTAACGCAGATAGTTATAGACACTTTAATAATTAAATGTTAAATTCCCCTATAGCTATTTTTCTTCCCTCAAGAAAAAGTCCATTTCGTCATTTTGCAAAAAAAAAATAAGTTTCTCTACGAGAAAAGTTATTACTATTATATTAAATATTATTATGAACTAACCAAAATCGTCATTTCAGAAAGTCGTTTTGTCTTATTGCCGAAAGCAACTGTTTACAATTGTTTTCGTTAGATTAGCCAATCAGATCAAATGTTTTGGGTAGTCCGTTAAAATCAGAGCTGTAGTTTGGTCTTTATCAATAGTCATCAATACTTCTCGTTTCGTCGTACAGACCCATACATTTCCTGATTTAGTTGTTCATAACTTCTTGTAAAACTTTCAAGAGCACTGTTTATTATCAGGGTTATTTATGCAGGACGTCAACTCATTATTATCGGCATTCTATGCGTAAACTTGAAGAAACAGAAAAAATCTTAACACTTTGGCGTCCTGTATCGTAGACAACGAAAATAAATAAGTAATAAAAAATCGTTCCTTTATTTCTCGTAAAATTCTACTATAAAAAAATTAGCATGAATACCCTTTATAGAAACTTGTTTTGAAAATATCAATAATTAATTAATAATATTAATTTTTTATATGCCAAACGCATTTGAGCACAAAATTTATTAGGAAAGGACATGAGATGACAAAAGCGTATTTGTTTAGTTTTGGTAATGGTTGGTGCTGGCTGGATCTATAGGATGTCCATTAACATTATAGAGAAACATGCTCATAATTAAAGATAAAATGAGTTTCCCTGAACATAACACTCCTTCGGTCATCTAACTCACCTACTCCGCATTTACTGCATATATAAAAATTTTATCGCAAAAAAATTATTTATATTTAACGATAACAATCCGTATTAGCGTACACTAATAACATTTTACTTCCTACAAACGACACAAGGTAATTATCATTTTTTACTACCGTTTTTATGAGCATTCGTACTTTGACAAATTATTGCAATTTATTTTTATTAAAGCGATAGATTGTGCACATGCTTTGTTACGTAACCATTGTAAACGAGTTTTCAAAATAACAGCAAAATATGTCTGTATGATACCATTTAACAAAGTTCCATTCAATTGTAAAAACCATCTAATGAAATTAAAGCAATATAATTTTGTTTTTATTTTATAGTGACACTTGTGAATGTGCTACTTCCTTTATAGGTACGAATTCTCCAAATTTTAACCTTTTCATTGGGATTTCGGAAACCATCCGAAAGAAAAGATCGTAAAATTGGAATTTTACACAATACTTCCTGAGATATCATGAAAAGCCTTACAATACTTGTAAAATAGTTTTTTCAAGTTTTTTTCTGGATTTACTTGGAAGCATGCCTCAAACAAACTCAACGAAATTTTAAATAATATAAATAGCACAAATGGTTATTATATTACGCACCTCAAATTTTACCCGAATATTGAATATTAACAGAAATTTTAGGAGAATCGATGATTAAATTGGGGAAAAGTTTCTGATTTCATT